GGGGGGGGGGGGGACCAGGGAGAGCTACGAGGAAACATGAACATCTTGGCTCATGCCCCAGCTGATATTAGTCAACATTATTACTTTCATAATTCAAATCAGGAATGTTACAGCCAAGGTAACCTACTACAGTGCAGGAGCTACTTGACAAAATGGGTCTCCACAGATTCACTTGCCTCCAGATAATAGTGAGGATTATTAAGAGCCATATGTATAGCAGCTCTTGGCGTGCCCACGATATGTCTCTTGACGCCTGCCAAGTTACTGAAGAAGAGGACTTCATTGAATGGTGTATTTGTTGGTGGAACAAGGAACTGCGGAAACACCGTTCCAGCCAAGTAATCCAGCAGCTTCTTCCTTGCCTCTTCGTAGCCTGACAGCGACTTCGGCTTACGTGACAACTCCAGCAGTTTCTTAACAAATAAACACGCACATCAATTTCAGTTTTTTTACACGCAATTTTATATTTAATTTCTTTGGATGAGACACAACCTATCTTCCCAAATGCCCCACTTTTATATCAGATTTGGGTCTATGGCTAAGAAAACACTTCCTATTTCGCTCTGTACATGTGGAAGAACGTCACTGTGGCTTAAAAGACATTCATAAAATTCAACATTTCTGGTCCCTACCAAGAGCGGAGCTCACAAAATATTCTAAACCACACATGCCAACAGCTACTACCCTTCTTCATGACCAAAATTAATTATTACGAAAACTGTACTTAATATTCACCAGGGAAAAAAAATCACATATGACAAGATGTCCATAAGAAACATTTTACAATTCAATGACAAGATTTTTTCTGAGAAAAACAGTATGTCAAATACAGTCGCAGACTGTGACTTTATTAGGAATGTATATGTAATCTAAGGAACCTTCTCACCCTTCCCAATTTAATTTCAACACGAACAGCATGAACTTGCATGTCTTTATCATTAGTGAACTACACACATTTTAAAAGATCGTCAATGGTTTTATGAACCTGCAAGTACCTCTTTCAGTTGATACCTGTTGATATTCTTCCCAATGTCAACTTTACTTGGACTTTTCAATGTCTGTTCGGCAGCTTTTGTCCCCACACTGACTATCTCGGTGTAATATCTGGACAGTTCCCGATGTATGTCCTTCAGGTGCGAGACTTTCACTGGCAAGTCGCTTGAGACGTTTTGAAGGATGCTGAGAACTTTCTTCAGTTTGTCCAGTAACTCTTCCCGTGACTGGAATCCAAGTAGCTGGAAGCACTCTCTGAACTGGGGTGATTCAGAAATGTCGCAAGAGATGGCGAGGCTGTACACTTCTCGCAGCTGGAAGAAATTTTAAACTTCTGTGATTTTTATGGGTTAGAGGCACAGCAGCCAACAGTCACTGTCAAGGAATAATCTGACTTTTATGGAAACTGCGTGATCACGGTCATGTGCACAAGAGCCCACCAAGAATTCTTAATGTGCGCCACACAAATCTAACCAACACCTTCCAACACTATTACCCCATGACACATTTCAATATTATACTCAGCTAGCTCAGGTCTTCCTTTCAGACTATCCAACCAAAGTTTTGTACACAGTTCTAATATCCCCTCTGCATGCTGCATGCTAAGCCCATAAAATCCTCCTTCAACAGATCATCCTAACAACATATGATAAATTGTATAAAGTATTGAGCTGATGAAGATTACCGTCTTCTGGTGAGCTGATCATTATGCATTTTCCTCCAGCCTCCTGTTGCTTCCTCTCTCTTAGGTCCAATTATTCTCCTCTGCATTCTGTTTTTAAAAAGCCTCATCTCTTTTCTTCCACTAACATGACAGACCAATATTTTAGAATTTACATTTTAGACAGAAAACAGGAGGGGAAAAACTCTGAACTGCATAGTAAGAAGCGTTACCCAGATCCAATTCTCCTTTATTTCTCTGAGAATATAATTCTGACTTATTACCACCATCCCCAAATATCTGAACTCATTTAACATTTCATAATATGCCAGTTTTTACAGCAAGGTGTCATCAGATCCCCACCACGACGAAACATTTTCTGACCCAAGTGTCGAACATCGTAAGACTGAGACTTCGAAGCAAATATTTTTTTATCACTGTGCACAGGACACAGACAAGTTAGCCCACAGGCACAATGACGACGCTCATTTGTATAAGATCGCGGGTTTTCACGGCAGTGGTAATGTGGATTGTGGTCTTTTGGGTTGTGATGCCGTGTGGTCTTGCAGCAGGTTACTGACGTTCCTCCGATGCATCAGTAACTACATACAAGAGTACGTGATGACACTGCAGAACAAACTGAAGGTGCTGAAGATTGATCCTGTTGGGCTAAATTTTATATTCTAATTGCCTTTTTAGCGTACGTACTTGCTTTCCTAGAGGTGACTTTGGGAGCGACGATGTCAAAGTGTGGAGACATCTTAGCAATGTGTGGAAGTTCAGCAAGTACCCATGTAGCTCTGTCATCAGCTTCTCAAGCACCACCTGAAATAACGTACATCTTACGGCCCCCTTCTTCACACAAAGCACGACAGCAGTTTGTAACATATACAAATTACAAACTACAACCAGTTTAATTAAAACTGGTTCTTTTGTTCTTGTGTGAAATGACAAACACGAAAAAAACTAATCTGTGATTTAGAAATATTTTCAGAACACACCCATAATTAACAACCAAAGATGTACAGTAAACAATAACTTAGAAGGATTTTAGGTGAGTTCAAAGATGACCGTCTTCTGCGTTTTAACGATACACACTCTAGTAGAAGTTTGCCAACATTTGAGAAGACAGCCACGTTCAAACACTAAGTTACTCACCCTAAAATGATCATCATCAACAAGCAGAGGTGCCTTCTCTTTCTGAGGCAATTTATCCACATAACGACGAAAAGAGGGCAACTGACGCAGCTTCTCTAGTTGGTCCTCACTTAGAGACTTAATGTTCGGAGCCAACTCGGACACGGAGCAGCACAGAACTTTGTAATCACAGTCGAAGAAATGTTCCATCACGCAGTACTGCAAAAACACAACATTCAAAACAAATCCTGTGAGGAATATAACATTATAATAAATGCTGGTATAATATCTCAAAGCTCCTCCAAATTAAAATATGTTAAATGTGCGTAGACTTCACAAAAGGCATTGGTTCACCAATGGAAAAGGGACGTACAATGTTGTAGGTTGTATTTAATGGGGCTAAGGAAGGCACTCCAGTGGTAGCGGGATTATTGCAATAGAACAGTTATTACCACCAGATTCTGCTGTTTTATTGTTTGGTGATATTCCATAATGATAAAGTTGTTACTGATAAATCCTCTACATATTGGCTGTAACACAAGCAGATAAACATGAAAGAACTAACCCAATTAAATGGCTTTTAAGAAGTGGAATTACGAGGTGCAAATTTCAACCTCCTCTGCCTTCAGCACATGCTGCTGAATGTTATCAATTGACAAATTACCACTTAATAGATCTTACAACAAATTTGTGTGGTTAATTATAAGACAAAACAATGTAATAATCACATAACCTGAAGCAATAATTTGAACACATCTGACACTTTAAGATTATTAAAAGTACAGTAACAAACAAACAGAGCCTACATTGACAAGCTAACTGCCACTCAGCTGGTCAGAAAATTACACATTTCTATAGAATCAGAAGATTCATTTCCGTAAGAAGTGTGAAAGGTACAAAGTACCGGAGTCGAAGACGTTTACCTGAAGCAAAGAGTACGGGACGAGCTGTCAGATGGTATAAACAGTACACAGAAGCACTGGTATCAAAAACAGGCACTTAGAAAAACTAAACACTTACGCTCGTTTGGTAGACATTGTCTTCCTTCCAGATGATGCCTTAGAATAAAGAGGCTGATGTCCAAACAAGGTCAATATATAAGCTGACCATTTTAAATTTCTTATAACTTAAGCAGGCTGTGTAATTAAACATGGATAAGACCAGGCATGCAATGATTTTAACAAATTCCCTTAAATTTCATAGAGGTATGATCCACAACCACAAAAGAGAACTGAAATAGGTTTTTAACTTTAAAACAATCACCTTATAATGTTGAATAAATCCACAGACAGACAAGTCATGAAAAAGGAAAACGTCGATCAGTAACTTGAATGTTTTGTCATCCAACTGGAATGGACACGCGCTAGTCAGAAAAACCTATAAGAAAACCGTGTTTTCATGTATTCTCCTTATTAAAAATGACACACACATTGAAGAATATTCACAGCTACATGCCAGTGTTAGCACACTCAGTAAACGTACAAATTCTAATTTAAAAAAATGGTAGAAACTGTATTAGCAATATTTTCCAAATTTACCTTCTCCAAAACTTTATTAAGGTAAGAGGACGACGGCTGAGAATGGAACACCTCATTTCTGAGTTTCGATGACACATGGTACGGCAGGCTACGATGCAAGGTGCGCACGGCAGTGGCGACCCCAAATACAAACACCAACGGAAGAGACGTGACGTAACAACTGCAAACAGAACGCCTTATACAGACGAGTCGCCAGCCAATCTCTACTTACGACGGCTGGTGCTGAGAATTTAAGCACGTCACAAGGCACTACTAACAGTCGCCAATGAGCCAGACTATTTTTTTATTCATCTCAAGTACCTGTTCTTGTTTGTAGCCATTATTCTTGCCTATCCTCACTAAAATTTCTAGTTCAAAGAATTTTCAGAACTAGAGTTCAGTTACGCATACGAAAAAGAACCTATCCATAACAAGAAAACTATCACAATATCAGCAGCGTCTGGGACTCCTGTCGAGCAATATATCGTGTTCTGAACTGTACCTGGCTATGAGGATGAAGTCCTGTAATATTTGTGGCGAGAAGCCTTCCACATTAGGAATTATGACAACAAGAACAGACTCCTTATCCACCTGCAAATCTGGCTTAATTCTTAACTTCTTTCTTGGAGACATCCTTAGCCTTTTAGATGTTATCTGCTCCTTGTACCAAGCTGATAAGGTTAGAAAGTTACACTGATTCTTCTTCAAACGATCCTTCACTACATCCTCCAAGTCATCATCCTACCAACAAAGTAAAGGAAGAACTTCATCAGAACACTCACATAAGAATTGGGAACATCCTGAGAAAAGGTGAAGAAGTTGAAGAACATGTGAATATATGAGATTCGGGGTTTTCAAGATAGTGAAGATGTTAGCTGTGCTTTTCTGGGTTATAATGCAACATGTAGGTGGTTACAGCTTCTACCCAGAATATGGAAGTCACATGTTTCCCCAAGATGTCTATAACAGTGTTACAATGTACTAGACCACACACAACTAACATCTTCACCACCATCAGAACTTCAAGCGCCATATTAACTCACACTATGAAACCTGTTGTAATTCATTAATTGCAGAACCATGTGCTCGATGGTAGAGCGAACTGTCGTGCAGTGACGAGCCTGCAGAGTGGCTACGTACGGTGTCACTTTATCGTGCAACTGACTCGACAATGCTGCAAAGAGGGCATCATGATCTGGCAAGTTCACACCTAATAACAGAAGCACAGATCATACAGTGCTTGAGGAGTGCACTTAAATATGTGTAACACACATATGCTCCTAAAAATGCTTAATATTAACATGAGGCAAACATGGATACAGTTTACTTGTATATGGAATATATGAAAACATTCAAATTGCACCAAAACTACTTTAAATTAGGGTTTTTAAAACATATGATAACAGTAACAGTACCTGTAAGTAATGTTGCAGATGGTATTTCATTTCTCCCTTTGTTTGAGGCTTTGTTCTTATGACATTTCTGAATATAATAAACTAAGTTCTCTAAAATCTCCGAAAACACTTCTTCCTGTAGGGACTGAAAAATTAAACAGCAGCATTAATTGTTGCTATGTAACATATAATATACAAGGGCAAGAGAAAATTAATTCTTAATTTACACATACATAACCCAAAACGTACGTTGGGCATACCATCATGTAAATCTTTATCACTTCTGACAGTGGTAAAACAAGCCTTATCTTCGCTGATTTACATTACCTCTAATTTCACTTCAATAGATGACCATACTCTCTTATATGCTTTATACCACAGCTGCCTGTCTGTAGTCAGAATAAACTGCTTCTTAGGTGTATTTTTGTTGCGATTATGTGGCTTGTGAACAAAACAGCCCTAGAAGTTATAAACAATCTATTAAAATACCTATACAGATTGGGTCTAAAGAAATTGGAGAAACGAAAGCACACATTGTACTGATATGCAAGTCTTGGAGCATGAAATTCTTGTGGTTACCTTGGAAACTGATACTGTATGAGCCATACTATTTTATTTTGCTCAACGACGTTACTAACACAACAACACAAACGAATAACAAGCTTAGTAATTCTGCTGGAGTTTAATAAAATTACACCAACAAACCCCTTCGCAAAGGCGCGCAAAACGCAAATCGCGCTTCAGTTGTTCATAAAGTAGGTAACATGACGAGCAGAAATTTTACACTCCTTCCAGTCGTACCAAGCAATTCGTTTGGCAAGTATTCACCAGATGGCACGAGAAGTTCAATACATTATATTTTAATCCCAGACAAGAATAGATTGTCATAAATGAAATGTAATACTGAGAGAGGAAATATACGATTATAACCCTATCGAAATTCTGTTTCATACATGTATCACTGCCACAAATCCACGTATTAGATGTTAACAAGTCCTACTGCAAAATTTTGAAAACATTATCAATGTTCAATGCAGATAAAACTTCAATGCTGAAACTATCAACAATTTAAATTTAGAAGGAAAGGACGTGTAGTACGCATGATGAAAAGTGAAATGTTTACAAAATTTTAGTCGGGAAACCGAAAGGGAAAATACCACTTCGGAGGTCTGGGCACATCATATCTTAAATAAATCTGTGAGATTTCAGGTTATCACGGCCTTCTGGAATAGAAGTTGACCGACGTTTCAGTGATAGTACTGCTTCTACAACCAGAACGATGATTTAAGAGCATGGACTGGCGTAAGATGGGGATCCTTTGTAAGTGGTTGTAATTTAAACATGGTTATGAGCCTTCGGGATCCAAAGAATACAAGGCGAGAAATTTCGTGACTAGCTGGGCGACTATTAGGTTCTCAAGAATGAGTATGCTTTATGAATTTACTTAGTAGGTCGCCAATACCAAAGTGTATCGACTTTCACCGAGTAATTTCGGAGGCGAAACACCTGTACACGCTGACGGATGGACAAAAACTTTCTTTGAACGGAAGCCGGGTTAGCGCCAAGTAAGACGCACTGTGCACCCCTGCTTGAAGAAGACGCATCGCAGTGAATGGCCACCCCTGGAGGCATGAGCCGGTTGCAGCTATAAAGCAATCAAGACGAAGTGCTACACGTGTTGGATCTATCCGGTGGGCTACACCCTGCAACCACCAGATGTCAGATGTCAGATGTCAGATTGCAGCGCGGAACTTAAGCTGCGGGCATATTTGTCATTAACGCGTCAGCGCGGAGTTTGCACTTGGTATTCAGACGACTTCTAAAGTAAAACAGACTTTAGAACGAGACCAGGCGGATCTGAAGCCCCTAAATTAGGACCGATGGAGCGGTGATTAGCAGCGGAACACGGAATAACTCGTACAAAAACACTTCGCCTACGAATTTTACTTTAAGTCACCAGAGACTGAACCCGGATTTCCTTGGTATAAAGCCAGCGTCTAACCGCCTGAGCTATGGCAAAGACTCTGCCAGGCCCTAAGCTGCACGCATGGAACATTACGAACCTCTGGCTTTCCCCACTCAAATCTAGTTCCATAAAATATCGCGATTTGCCTAGCGTTTTATAGATTCTAACAGGAGCAATGCAGACATTCCTCATTAACATATCGGCAATGGTAAGGAACTCAACATAAAACGTGTCCAAGACTTCCACAAATGGCCCCAGATTTTGTTAGAAATTCCGTGGTTCTAAGATCTTTAACGATTTCTCTAACTCAGCGACATTCAACTGTTGTTTAAATTTTATCGTTACCGAGAACCCCTCGAGGATCGGAGAGTTAACATCAAAAATTATTTTCCGCGTAGTGTTTTGTGCCGTGTTAATGAACGACTGTCAGCTTCTCAAGAAGGACTCGGCTCCACGGAGTTAGTTCTGAGTCTCACCCTCAAGGCTCTTGGCTGCTCCCTTGATTACGACTGAGATTCTATGCCTGGAATTTAGTCAAGAGGGCTGAACGTTTCCTGATTGTGGCGTGCCTTAAGACAGGGCACAGCCTTTCTACGTCCATCATTCACTTCATTCAGCCCATCGGTCACTTAATTAGTCGATCATCCAACAGCAGAATAAATGCTATGCTCTGATCTTACTGGAACCGGAAATGGGAAATTTTCAAATGATTTCCCAACGAAAATACTGTACGCAATTCTTTTAACACCCAAATAAGTCACATGTCCATTGCGTACGCATTTCGCTCGTTTGTTTAACTACGCAAAAGATACGAGGTCCTGGGTGACCTGAATGCATCAGAAAATTGGGACCCTAGGCAAAACCTGCTCTTATTTAAATCAGTTTCCTAGACAACAACAAATCCCCTTCTCCTTCGTCCGTGTTCCAGCGGTGACTTCTCATTTAGCACTCGGCTCCTTCACCTTACCTCATGCCTAATTAGACGCCTTGTTCTAATGTTAACGATAATTAACAGGAGCCGAGTTCACGGTGGCAACTGGTGATTCACAGGAAACACATCATCATGGCCGTTGTAGAGCCACCATTTTGAATTGTGAAATGCACTACGTAAATGTATCACGTGTCTAATGATTAAAATACGTAACGGGAGTAATTTTAGATACCTTGTTGACGTGTTCGACATTTCAGGTAAGTTCCATGGTAAAACAAGGTCACATGCATACGAATTTCTTGCTGGAAATGAATGGGAGAACAAGACATTTTTATAACAGTCGAAATTTCAGGACCTCAATCTGTCGCGTGTCCACAGATCAAATTGGTCAGACGTAATGCCCTACACCGAGGACCTCAAATCTGTCGTGTGTCCACAGATCAAATTGGTCAGACGTTATAAACTCAAATGGAAGAACAGGTCCATGTTGTGCCTGGTCACAGATTATATTCCAAACACAAATTTGGTAAAGGTAATGGCGCATCTGTCGCCCCGAACATCGACTGAACCAACTTACGAATTCTGATTAAACTTCGCACGTACGTCATGCCACTAAATGCCACGACGCCATTGCCAACCATCAGTGATACCAACCTGGTGGCTGGAAATGACCCAGGGGCCATTTAATTTAGAGTCTTGCAAATTTGTGTGGGGAAAAGACCTTAAAAACGTAAAATTTTTGTTGAGATAATTTGTTCATAGAGCAGAAAGGTGGGTTTCAAAAATGAGAAGGTTATTTAATCCTCAATTATATGGCGAGAATTATTGGAAAAGTTGACAAATTCCGAGGAACATTTTCCAAGTTAACAATTACTGACCTGGCGACGGTATGAAGCTCTGACGTTGTATTTATGTAAGCAAAAATTATAGATCTAAACAAACTATTCAAGAAACCACTAACAATTAATTCGCAGTGGGTCTTAGTGGTCTGAACATGTAGAAAGAAAGACAGACGAATGAGTTTATCGTAATCCCTAATGCAAGTTCCCGTCTCTTATATTAAATTATATTACACATTACAGTCTGTTTTATTTTCGAAATATTGTCACCCCCAAGCCCACAGAATTACAAATACCAGCATTTCGGAAAAAAAAAACATAGACTGTCCCCATCTCCAGGGCTTGAAAACGATTATGTCTATCCACAAATACACATACCGTTACAACCCAGAAGACGCACGTCTCAGAAAGAACGAAGCTCATGTAAATAACATTTAAGAATTCGGTCCGTACCGCAAAGAAAACACAACTCTTCACCATTACGAAGATCAATTGGTTAACCCTTTGAAGTCAAAGCTCGTCTAAATATTACGTATTTAAGAATTCCGTCCGTACCTCGAAGAAAACACTACACTTCACCATTACGAAGATCAATTGGTTAACGCTGTTTAAGGAAATAATCGCTGTTTAAAATGTGAATCTCTAATTAGATAATCAAATAAAACACAAAGGACTAAATACAAAGAAAAATCCATTACGTACGGTCCATTTTGAAAAGATATATAAAATTCGATTTCAGTTTTACGTGAATTATGGACGCTCGATCGATATGAACCGCCATTAATAAAGTGGCTGGACGACCTTTAGCGCAGACCCTCGGGAAAATTGCTCACAAGACAACAGAAGTCGACTCCTCCGGGTTGTGACGCCTGGGAACCTCGCATCTCAGTCAGCTAGGCCTGCGCTAGAAATGACGCACTCACCCTAAGGGACGCAGCCCCTCCCAACCACTGGTTCTGGTCGACTCCATCTGGAATCGAACTCCGGACACCCAGACTGTACCGAGCTCTCGAGGTTTTCTGAAACAAGAATCAGAGATGAGATTTCAGGTTCTCAGGGCGACGAGTATGAAGACGACTGTCTTCTGGAATGTTGCGCCGTGTAGTCTGGTAGATGTCGCCTTGATGATGGAAGCAGTAAACTCCTCTGAAACATACCAGAAGACGGCCGTCTTAAAAAGTAAGAGAAATCTTGACGTTGATTGGTGTTATTTGCTTGTGACATCTTTGAACAAAGTGATTAAAATGAACACAGTTTTTGGAGAGGGTGTCCATCAGTTGGTACAAATGTTTTGCTGTGGAATCAAGTGAGCGGGGCTCTGAAAACACTCGTACTGAAGGCGTAGGTAGTCTTCCTTCTGCTCAAAACTTCCACAGAAAAAAAGACTTAACGAAATAAAAATTATTTTAATCCCCAAGAGGCCAAGAATCCACCACGACTCACCTACCGCCTTTAGCTAAAACATTTTCATGTGGTGATTAATGAATTAATTATAGTGCGACGTTAATTATTAGGACGGCGATACCTGTAAGGCAGCGATGAGCTGGGCATGTAGCAAGTAAGTCGGAGACAGGGAATGCACAGAGAATTTTGATGAGCAAACCTTCTGGAAAACGAACTCTTGGGAGAATGGTATTATGCAAATCAATTGGCGCAGTGGCCGATTTTGGAACGGCATCCAATCAGTCCGGCAGTACCTTTTTTTGTTCAGAGTGATCAATGGCTTTCTTAACTAACTGCATGAACCGGAGTCTTCGAAAAGCTAGCAGTCGCTCAGCTGATCGACAAATCCTCGGCTGCAGCGCCGAATGCGATGGGACTGCCGATTCCTAGTGTTGTCTGTCAGTCCCTGCCAGCACCGCTCGCAATAAACGCTGCCTACACACCACACGGCTCTAGGTGTTGTCAGAATCAATTAGCACGGTCAGACTCAAGGCTGCGAGCGGACACTTGCTATGCCTGTGATCAGCTGCACGCTCGGCTCATCAGCTCAGCACTGAGTTGTACATCGGACCCTTTGTCCATCACGGGAGCGAACCCAGGCCTCCGCTGCGAGAAGCCTGCGACTAACCGGCAAGGCGACAGAAACGGACAAGACTTGGCTTCAGTGGCGGGGCACGTAGCTCGCACGGGACACACGCGAAATTCTGGTCAGACAACCTGAAGGGCGAAGGTGGCGTATCAGGACGAGTCTCTTGTGAACGTGGTAATGAACCTTCGATGCCCGCAAAAGACGGGGAACGTCTTCACTAGCTGAGCGACTATTAGCTTCTCAACAGAGGTTTGTCCGTGGAACGAGTCAATTATGCGCGCTCTTACAGGCTACAAGATAATTCTAAAAGCTGTGTTCTTCAACCCTCTGACAGGCGTGAATATCTGAAGGCAAGAGACTTTAAGCAGCACCCCTTCTTAAGGGCGCCTTCTAATGGCAGTTCAGATACGCCGTAGTTCGGACGGAGAGACAGAAGAGTGAATCGCGTAGGCTGTGGCTATCAGAGATCAGTTTAAAAACGGAACATGTCGATAAAATGTCTCTGCATTTGCGCCCACTGGCCGGAAATTAGGTATTTGTCCGCTGAAGACGAACTCACTCACGACTACGACTTTACTTTTGGTACAGCGCAAAATTCATAGCGCGGAAAACAGCATCTAACATTTGAATCTCACTTACGAGTGCCGGTCCTTCCCGGTGTCACAAAGTTTCGTCAGACAAATTCTTATTAAGCGAAACCTCTGTTAATATATACTCAGAAATCATAAACTGTTTGTGAGTTACAAATTAAATAATTCATCTGCCGTCGTCTTTAAAGAAAACCCAGCGAGGGAGAGGGTAAAGTAGGCCACGGTCGCTTCTGTTCACAGTCTCTCAACTTCGACGTTTCGGGGAGGTATAACCTTGGCGGCTGAGAAAGCCTCGTCAAATGAAGGGAGCGACGACGTTTTCGCCTATTTCATGTTTTTTCGGTCCGTTCCGGGCGACAACGTCCATTAACCTGATTTTTCTTTCTTTCCGAATTCTGTAGACGTGGACCGGGCGGTGTCTTTATGACGCATCTGTACGCAATAAAGGCGTTATATTGATTGTCCATGATCAGGGTCCCATTCATGTGGGAGGTCCCAGGTAAGCAGAGTGAGTGATGCTTTTTTAAAACTGGAATCTCGACGTGTCGGCATTCTTTCTAAAAGGATAAAAAGAGGAGTCGTGTCCATAAAGATAGCGGTGAAAGAGAGAAGGGGAAAGTTTTAGTGTTTTATGGCACACACTCAGTGCACGGGAAGGGTACAGCACACACACACACACACAGCGGCCATAAAGCACGGATTGCATTGCTGCAAGTTGGTAGCGACGCGATTTCTTATGGCATCAAATGGTTTCACGGCGCTACTGATGACACGCCACTGGTGTACAGAATGCAACGATCTGGCTGATCGAGGTTCGCGGCACGGCTGATTCGACAACTTTACAAGATGTCTCGAAACACAGCCCTGTCTTGTAAACGTCTACCAGACCACACGGCGCTACAAGCCACAAGACAGTCTCCTTCATAACTAAATCATATCTGACTATTCAGTGTCGCCGAGGCGATTACCCCCCGCCCCGAAGTCCCTTACATTACACTCAATGACACCTCCGACACAATCCTTTACGCTTTATTAAAGCCTTTTGAAGTTAAAGCCGGTTTAAGTCCTATTTAAGAATTCAGTCCGTACCGCGAAGAAAACACCGCACTTCACCATTACGAAGATCAACTGGTTAACGCTGTTTAAGGAAATAATCGCTGTTTACACTGAGAATCATAGTTCGTCTGATTAATATTAAATAATTCAGACCGTACCGCGAAGAAAACACAACGCCTCACCATTACGAAGATCAACTGGTTGACGCTGTTTAACGAAATAATCGCTGTTTATTCTGAGAATCGTACGAAACCCACATAAATACAAAATGAAATCTTACTGAATGTTAAATTAGGTGGTAAGTACACTTACCACAGGGCTTTAAAAGAGCTACATATCCCTCCGGAGCGGCGGACGAACATTCTTTGAAATGCTCTCCACTTCTCAGCACGCACAGCCCTGGTGTACCACCATCAACTTCCTTTGCCTTGTATTTCCAGCGCAATCACGACTCTCAAATTTAACATAAATAACGTCAGTAACGCCATCTGACCTTCGACCTCGGTTAATCAGGTGTTCCCCGAGGTTGGGAACGTTCCTAAAAAGTAACCAGAAGACGAGGCAGGAGGAGGCCTCTGAGGTTTGAGGAACTCAAGGCGGTGGATGTGCGGACCGTGGCTTTTTTCACGTAAAATATACACCCCAGAGCGTCTGAATAAAAGCACGAGAACTGAGAAATGCACACAAATATTTCGCTGGAGAACATGAACAGAAGAGTCCGCTTAGGATACAACGACATAGATGGGATGATATTAAAATGCATCCCAAAGAAATAATTTGGGGGGGGGCGGTGTGGCTCTAAACTCGATTCATGGATAGGAACCGGTGGTGGGCTGTTGTGAACACGGTAATGAACATTCAGATTCTGCAAAGTCCTGGGATGCTTTTCACCAGCTCACGAATAACTTGAAGTTCAGACAGGACAGTTTTTACTGATTGGAAACAAAACAACTACACTGACACAGCCGACAATACTCGGCGGTGTCAACGACGCAATTCTGCGCTGCTTTATTCCCTTGAATGGGGGATCAGCCCATCGCAGGGCATCTACTACCAAGAAGGGACGACTTCCGTGGACATCAGCGGCCCCTGGTCCTACGGAAATCCACAGATCGATATGAAGACGAGAGCATTTGCGTCTCAGGGCCTTGGTCCTACGCAAATCCACAGATCGATCTAAAGACGAGAGCATTTGCGTCTCAGGGCCCCGTCTTCCAGGACGCTGTCGTGAGCACGTAACGGGGTCCCGGGGCGCTCGAACCTCGACTGACAATGCTCGAAGACTACTTTCAGAGGTGAGTTTTGAACGTCTTGTCGGACGTGACGCTGACTCCCAGCGGAGCCCAGTAAATTATGAACCCATTACATAAACCGTTTAATGCAAAACATTCGACATAAACAAATTAAATGATTGTTTCGTCTCTTTCTGAACGGGAAGTGCGAGAAGTTGCGAGTGAGTGTTAATGAACCGCCATCAATACGTCAGCTATCAAAAAGGAGACGCAGATCGAACACAGTCACATAAATCACGCACAACTGAAGCCACACGTGCGGAAACAAAGTGTGGGCCGCGAGTCGGACACGACCCGCAACGCTGGATGCAGTGTGCAGGGGCAAGACAAGAAATGCGTACCGAATTTTGGTAAAGGCATCTTCGGACTCGCCGTCGACAGGACCCGAAACCTCACACGGGCGCAAGTCTCGAACCCAGCTCAAACATACCACATAATCAAGTGATATCCACGGAGGGGGTGTCTGAGAATCCAACCCGGGTCGTCTAGCCCTCAGGCTACTCACTACACGCCACTTTCTGACCGAAAATCAATTTAGCACAGCCGTAAATGCTGATGGTGGCCACTAATTTAAGTGTTACGAAACAGAATGTGAAAGGCCACTTCTAAATCAGGCCGCAGCTTCCAGGATGGAGTGTGTCTGACGACAAAGCGACGAACGCTGGATAAACGGACGATGTAACAGAATTTATTTTCTTACAAAGGCGTAACCCGGTCAGTACTGAGGCTGGACGACCAGGGATCGACTCCCCGGTCAACCATCACTCGATTTTCGAAGGGCAAGTCACGTCTCAACATGCTGAGCTAGTAACAGCCTCGTATGAAGTCGCTGTCGTCATGGCAACCAGAAGACCACAGAAACTTGGTTGTCAAAAGCACGTGATCGCGTTGGCCCCAGACGAGGACCGCGGGTTCACAGTCTTTGCCATCTGATGGGGAGAATTTACGAGGGCAGAACAACACTTGCGGATCGCTGTGATTTAGAATTAAAAGTGGCTCTCAACCAGAGAGTCGATCCTCGTATTAAAACTTTTGGTTAGATCCACGAGGGTTGAAATTCAACGGCCAATTCAAAAACACATTTTAATGTGCGGTTTAAATTTGTGTTTCCCTTCGAGGGGGAGATTATTTCTTTATTTTATTTTGGTCTATGCGTGCCTACGAATTTAAACACTTCCTCGGCCCTACGCCCTCATTGACAGTCTCGTGGGAGACGAATGCAATCCAGGCTATAAAAAACAAATTATTTAAAATCCTTTTGATATAAAAATCCTCCCATCCCTCCCGTGCGTGCTACGTGTTCCGCCTATCCATCTTTCTTAATTTGACACCGGTAGATCCGGGAGGGTGGTACTGCATGTCAACGTTTCGGAGGAATAAATCGCCTCCATCTTCACTGTCCTGAAAAATCTAAAAAACTTGAAAGTAAAATTTTTTAATATTTTAATTCTTATATAGAAATTTGTTGGAGAACGTAACTTTGTGTTCGTTACGTTTTTTTAAAAAAAGGGACAGGTCAGCCAGAAATTGAAAATTGAAACTTCTGGGCCGATTATCGCCTCCCCCCCACCCCAATTCGTGATGAGTGGAAGGGTGTGTCCTACCCACCAATGAGCGAGCGCGATGGTCTCACAGGCAACCAATGACGCGTCCGATGGGCGGGGTTTGTGGCGGAACCGAGTAGAAGGGGAACCGCGGATGATGGAACGCATTCGGGAACGGAGTGACGAGTAGCCAGGGTGTGAGAAGTGTGTCCACAATTGGCATTGTCGTGTGGAATAGTGGGACAATAATTAGCTTCGTTTTCATAGTAGTGCGTTCTCATTATTGGTCTCGTGAGACATTTCGACCTCTGGTGGTCGCTGAGTGTCGAAAGGTAATCTTCAGAAGTGAGAGAATGCTCTTGGGTGTGTTTTGGTGCCCGCTGTCCGCCAGAGGACGCTGTAATTTCCTTCGGGGCGAAGATTTTAACCGCGAGACTCCTCGGACGACGACGACGACGACGACGACGACGACGTCAATGTAACCCGGTCACCGGAGCCTCAAAACACAAGAATTTGGCGGGCAGTAATGTTAGGGGAACGCTCGTTCTGGACGAAACCACGTATCTCATTTATCACTTGTTGTTTTCTGTGTGGACGACAGAGGATGTCATTAAGGGTATCACGATTTGCACTCTTAATTTAACATTGATACGGCGTGTTAGATGTGACAAAATCATGTATCACGCTCGGAAGATATAAGAATTGCGCATAAAATTTTTCGTCTGAGAGCCACAAGGAAATAAACTACTCAGGACACCGAATAGATGTCAAATATTGAAGCTGGATTAGACGCAGGTGGCGTGTGACGCGTTAATGAATCCTTAATTGTTTTCTAAGAAGTTACAGACACGCGGACCCCGGACAAATCTTTTTACCAGGAGAGCAGCTGACTCAATTTCTCACGGCGTCCTCCATTAACGCGTTCTTATTCCCACGTGACCTTACGAACGAACACCAAAAAAAGTCAAATATTCTCGGTGTCGCACCCCGGACCAAGAGACCCGTCCCCTGTGCAGAATGCGTTCACGGCGCGCGGTTGCCATGGCAGCGTTAGAAATTAAAGTTGTTAGAGTGGCTTTAGAATTAACAGGGAACTCAGTAAATAAGTCACAGATAATATCAGAGCCCTCTTTCGAAAAACAATTTAACCAGCAGAGAATAAAAAATCAATTTTGAAATGTCTTAAGAGGCTCACTTGGGGTGTCTTCAAACGTATCCTGGACCACTCAGAATCCCGTGGCTTAAAAACGCACGAGAAAATCGGGTGTAGGTTAGGTTAAGTACGGACTGTTCCGTATTTAGGCCTAATTCTTACGGGCCTTCGGCTCTGTTAGAGTAGACACGCGGTTTGTGAGGGCCTCCAAATGCTGACATTTGAGGAGCCCTACAAATATAGAGATTAGATTGACGTTAAAATAAATTCGGGTAAAACCAAGAGTGTTTTGAGTCTGTAGCAATAAAAGTTGAATGCGCATAGACAGCAAGATATTTATTTATGTATTTTGTCGTTCTTGATGATAAATTATTCCCTGTTATGAGGAAGTCTTTCCGTATAATCATTCAAAATAAAATATTATAATTGTCATGCCTGAGTAAAATCCTTCCAAGAACACACCAATCGATGATGACGCGATAAAACTCTAATTGTACCTTTAAGGAAGACACGAGAGTCAAAACTGCAAACAGAAATGACGTAGAATCGGGCTATCAACATAACATGACGCATACATACACAGGCGGACAGACATTGCATCAGCTGACGTGGGCTGCCAGAATTGAAACTGCACTAATCTTCTGACTAGCTGAGAGACTGTCAGCTTTCGACCAAGGACTCTACTCCACGTAGTTACGCAGAGACACTGTAAATACCTCGTAATGGCCTCCGCATCGTCGAAACATCAGCGAATAATCAATTCGGAAGGTCACGGAGAGAAACCGGACCTCGGCCTGTTCATGACCCACGGCACGTGTTAATGCTCGGAAATTCGTTGCCATGACAACCGGACGACAGGCCATGGAGGGACGAGTGCCAGGTTCACGTACGGCCCGAACGCAAATTCCGAAGGGCTCGATCGTAATTTTTCCGGAGCTCGGCTGAAAGCAATTCGAGTACCGCTGAGCTAACTTGCGCGTCCCGCACAGAGGATTAACACGTAAAATTCTTTTCCCCCCCAGCCGACAGATCTTGTCGAAGACATTAGAGCGACAGCAACTGGAAATTGCGGTTCATTTTTGCTCGTACAAACTGTGGACAAGTTTCAGTGTCAAATGTCCGTCTGTCCGTCGCGGAGATAAGACAAGGGTAACAAAGAGTCGTCGGAATCTCCTCGCGACGAAGTTGGCTCTGTTCTCCTTGGCTGCAGCGTCTTACAATGCGGTAGAAGTTCAACAAACTTTCGGAGGTCCTTGCTGCCTCCATCATCAGGGCCAAATTCGTACTCGTCGCCGTGAGAATCTCAAATTCACGATTACTGGGCCCAAGCTTGAAAAAAGCTAACACCCCGTTTCTGTGAAAATTAATCTCCTCTTGTACAGATGATTATAAGTTAGCCGTTTTCCTAGTCTAAGATTAGTTTCAGGGGCATTTCTTTTTTCAGACGCCAGAGCTCGGAGGTGCGCTTCCAGGATGGCGCAGTCGCACATCCTGTCTGCTGTTGAATCTGAGCTGACGGCGGGACGCTGTAAGGGGGACCCCACGGAACGGGATCTGCAAGTGACCCTAGACGATCGGGACCTCTGGACCAAGTTTCAGTGCCTCACCAACGAGATGATCGTCACGAAGAACGGGCGGTAAGCGATCTGGTGGTTGCCACGTGCTGTTCTGCACGCTCCTTGGTCCTAGACGCTTCGCCTCATTCTCAGAAAGAGATAAAAACTTTCCCTAAACGTGATCAAAATTTCTCATGCATTTGTAACGATCATGTGGCGTGTTTTCTTGGAGGTGAGGACCGCATTTATGATATCATTAAGAGTTCTTCACACAATTTGCACAGAGAGAATGTCCGTCCTTCCGAACGCATGTTTCAACTGGGGAACTACTTCACTAACGTTGATGAAATGTAGGATGTATGTTGTGGTACTACTGGCGATCCCAACCTAACCTAACATTTAATACACCACAACCAGTTATTACAATATGGCGGACACACGAATTTTGGAGGGAGAAGATTTCAGAAATCGGCGTCCGGTTAGGTTAGGTTAGATTAGGTTATGTAAAGTTAGGTTAGGTTAGGTTAGGTTATGTAAGGTTAGGTTAGGTTAGGTTAGGTTATGTAAGGTTAGGTTATGTAAGGTTAGGTTTCCATAGCTCGGGAAGTAAGCACGATACATAAACGGGGCCAGAACCAAAGTTCCCTGTTTCGACGAGGATATAACAGCAAAAACATCACGAAACCAGAAATCTGTCCTGGGTACGATACCCGGTAAAGATATTGGTTTGGGTACAATAATTTATGATATACAACGATAATTATCGAGTGATCAGTCCTATAATAAATTTCGGCCAATAAAGACTGATGAGAAATGTAACAATTTGTCAATTTCTCTAACATAAATATTGCTAAGTAATTTTTGTAGTTTCGAAACGAGTGCTGATAGACTGGATTTAGAGGAGAAGATGGTACAGTGAGTTGGCCATGCAAACAGAACGGGGATTACGAGGATAAAAAATAATTAAGGTAAACAGACCCATGGGAAGACCCAGAAAAAGATGTCTCAACCAAGTGTCACAAGAGGATGTGGGAAATGTCGTCAGAATCGGGATAAACGAGCATTTCTAGAGAGACGCCCCTCGTCAACCCGCGGAACACGGTTTGGGAATCGTTGTGAGTCACGCGCGAAGAACGTCCCGCATGGACCGCTCCAGAGTCGAGAGAGTTTCGTGTGTTTGAAAGCCTCGTTTCTCGTGTGCGTGCGGGTTCGTTTAAAATGTTTGCGTTGTGCATGTGTCAAACGCGTGACGTCGTCCTTCGAAGAAGCGAATTGGACAATAGGGCTCCAAAAAGGATTCTACACGCGTTCGAAAAGTTCGTGGTGTCGGCGGAGGGCGAGCCAGGAAGACGACGGACGATACGGCAGCCAGCGACGTACGTAATATCGCAAAACTTACAAATGTTTAACTACAGATTAGTAAGCCATAACGTCTGAAATATAGAGAATAAACAGCGATATGGCAGTTGTAACACGCGTGATAAATGTAAATGTGGTCACTTTGGTTTCATGCACATACAGAAAATGTGTTAATTTTAGGCTTCATTATATATTAAAACCCAATTTATTATGACGATTCTCACCCACTACATAATTCTGCATTTCTCGTGTACTGAGTATACGTTACTAAATCAATGTTTATTAATATTTGTGTAAGTCTGGTGCAGACTCCAGCGAAATCAGAACTTTTGTTTCCTTCTTGCAGTGTTCTGAAGCAATTTTTATTCTAATATGGGGGGCGGGAGGGGGGGGGG